GAGCCATCCTAAGGTGAACAGACAATTAGCATTTCAAAAACCTAATGAAAACAAACTCTCTACTTTGTAGAAAAAAATATATTACATAAGAGACTGACATTGYGCACAAATCTTACCAATATGGTGTTCCAATAAATGTTGTTCTTCTTTGAAGAGTTTTCTTATTTTTGGCTGAGACACCAAAATCAGCTGAAAATACCACAATGTATTTTATGTGAATATTCTACATTGTTGTTCGTGTGTATTAATTATTCATTGAGTGACTTCTTTGTCTGTACTTCATATTTTTTCTTCCTCCTTTTCATCTCCCACTTTGAATTTTTTTGGATTGTTTTCTTCTGTTTGTGCCATTTTATTACTTTTCGTCTTAACATTTATTGCCACTTTCTTATCATTATCTTCCTGTTTCAATTCCTTTTCTTTCATCCACTCTTCCTCCTCTCCTTGTTTTCTTTCACATTCTTGTTTTCTCCCTTTCTTCATTTCTGCTTCTTTCTTAATCATTTCTCTATCTTTCCCAAGTTACATGGACAATTCATTCATTTATTTGAGCTCTCAATTGCCAYGCTTTGCTGTTTTAAACACAATTGTATCATGTCATACCTAGTTTAACTTGACCATCATTAGAGAGCAGGAGGTTACCAGCTTTGAGATCTCTATGAATCACTTTATTCGAATGAAGTATATTTAAACCCTAATAAATAATAACACATATTTATTATGAACACTATTAAAACTAGTATATGAATAAAAAATGGTATAAGATTCTAAGAATGATAAATAATCAAATTTTGATAAGGAAAGAAAATAATTATAAACTTTTAGCACAAAAAAAAACTACTTATTGTCACCTCAAAAAGTTGCCGACAGACTTCTTTGATTTCTTTTTCATTTAACCCTCTTTCTATTTCTGAAAACCAAACATTATTACAATATTATTATATCACATATCAAAGTGGAAAAAGAATGGCATTTAAGCTTGAAGGAAGGGGGGGTGCACACAATAGCAATTGTCAAAGATTATATAGAAATTTGAATACAATGCCATAGTCAGGATGGGTTTGCACCCCCCCAGTTTTAATTTATAAATGTATTGCCTTCATTTCACTATAACTTACCAAGCATCAGATCGTCTAATGCACCGCCCGGACAAAATTCTAGCATCATCTAACAAAAACAAAACAAAACACATGGTTCACAAAAAAAATCCTTATGATTCTGCTTATGATTCTGCTTATGATGCAGTAAGAATCTATCACTTCACTTACCCATAATTTGCCATTGTGGTAATAAGTTTCATGTAGTCCTACAATGTTTTTGTGTTTAATTTCACTTAAAATATCTATTTCGACCATAAAATCTTCCAAGTCAGTTTCATCATTCACTGTAATAATCTTGGCAGCTGCTAAAATGTCTTCTGTTTTATGTTGTGCCTAAAAATAATATTACACTTTCAATAAAAAATGACAAGAGAGACAAGTTCTTTACAGTACATTTCCATCACAAAATTCCAGGACTTTTTTGAAGTGCAAAAATTTGAATTTTTATTKATCTCTGGATGTTTTGTCCCCATTTCAATGAAAAAGGTAAAAAGCAAGATTTAAAAGTTTTGGTCTCTGGAAGTTTACTGGTGATTGTTTAAAATGTCCCCTTTTCTTTTGTAGAGTACAACATATTCAAGGAGTATTCCAAGAGTTTTGTGTGTTTTTTCTATTTTCTAAGTGTTTTTCAAGTACCCTTGGAAAACTAGTTTTCGATTACTGGGATTTTCAAGGATTTCAAGCACAAACCCTACATGTAAGTATTTTATTTTCATTTTCTTAGAAAATCACCAGATTTGCTATGTTAATCATTGGACACTTCATAACATTACTGCAGAAATCACTTAAGTGCTGAATCGTTTTTCTTTTTTTTTTCGCATGACCATCTCTTTGTGCATATACCCCTAAGGTAAAGTCTACCATTTACTAGCTTTATTGCCTAAAAAAGCTATTCACATACAAGATGCTGCAAACATCCATTTTWAATGAAAGACTAATGTCTGAGGATAAGAGTGGACTTGAAGTAAAATGCATGCAAAGTATAGCTAAAAGCAGCGTAACAGATTGTCTGAGTTGTAATCGCTTGTGATAATTTGAAGGCAAAATTGAAAAACCTGATCATAATAGTGGAGGCTATTTTTGAACAAATAATGTTCATGTACATCTTTTATCACAGAATTATAATAAATGTAAGAAATGACTTAATATTGATCTTCACAGAAGACTGTGTTTAATTAATTTTCTAGGAAAGATTGCTTTGCATGCTGCTGTCTGTGAACTAATTATTATTTTCACTCGGCAGACTCTTTGCACATCTTAATTGTTSTTCAGTTCTGCAGAAGTGTTTTTGCCTTTGGCAATAGTAAACCCAATACAAATTTAATTTATGTTTAAATTTTTATTCCAAAGGAAGAAATGTGTCTGTGTCTCAAATAGATACAGGATAAAATGCTTTTAATATGCATTCAATTTGCTTAAACGAAGAATATTCTTTTATTCAATCTAGAAAACAACAACTTGAAATTCAAATTGGGACACAAAAAGTGGACTGACATTAAAGAACTGGAAAATGTTCTGAGTATGGTAATTTATTGGCAAGACATTGAAAAGCATAGAGCAAAATTATTATCATTAAAATATCAGCATTGGAATATGAAATATAAAAATAAAAGTATCGAAACTTAAACAAATGAAAGTGCAATTCAATATTATCAGCTAAGTTTCTCTAACTTTAATTATTAAAACTACTTTTCTATCATTTTAATAATCACAACTGAATATCATTTTTTTCTCATAATATAGATACAGCTTCTAAATTTTTGATATGCTGGTGTAGTATAATTTTCCGGGAGCAAGAAGTCTTCAGAAAGACTACGTCAGAAATATTAAACAAAGAATATAAACCTCAAAGGTCTGTGAGTTGCCATGTTATTTCCTTTTGAATGTTTTCATTCATCTCAACATTTTTTAACAATTCTTCAAATTGATCTGCATTTTGTAATAATCATTTCAGCTGCTCTGAAATAAGACACCATTGCACTCAGACTGAATCAGTTTATTTACAGTGATAAACATGTAAATAGTACAATTTGGAACTTGTTTTAATAATAAATATTTAATTCCCTAATAACACGTTCTTCTGAATTTTGGATGGACTGCAGTGTGACTCAGCTATCAGCAAAAATATTATAAAATGATTTTTTCTTATCATGTAATTCCTAAGTTAAAGCACTTAAATTTAACTTAAGACCATTGATGTGAATCAATRTCAGTCCATTAAACAAGTCAGGAATGTCAATTTGACAATCACAATTACCAATCAACCAATCAAATGCAGAAATGAGCTGAATGTGAAAGTTTAACTTACAAATATTTACAAAAAGACAAGAATAACTGCACTTCAAGGTTATCACTCATAAATATAACAAACTCGATCATCCCTGAAACATTATCAGAACTTTACAAATTATTGTATGAGATTAATATTGATATGGCATACAATAATTCTGTTAGAGATAGAATTCAATAATGAACATATAATTATCAAATGATTAAATCTATGTATCAGTCAAGAACGAAAACTTCACCAAATGGATGTGTAAAAAGTCATAATTTTTYAAGAAGACTTGAAAAAAGGAAGTGTTTGAATCTATTTCTCTTTCACCAAAAGGTAGATATCATAACAGATAATTTCAATGTCTTTTGTATACATGGATTGTTTTGTTTACTATAAGTCAGCACCAAGAGATTGTAAATTAAGCCAATGTTACTTCGTATTTTGGTCAATATTTAGAGGGTCAAGACATGCCTTAGGACTTCTAGAAGCCCCCTCCCCTTCACTAAACACATAGCCAGAAGTCAAAACAAACTGCCTATTCTATATGCACCAACTCTTCCAATTTCTTCCCTGCTGTTGAAACAGATATAAAACACTATCTATTCTCTTTGGTATTAAACGGAAGGCATTTATCAGGCAGTAACTAGATCAATTGCTTATAATATTGCCAATGTTTACTCATCTAAAACGCCTATACAACGATATATTACTGAACAGCTTTTAGATTTTGAAAAACATCTGCAGATTTTATAAAACGATGAATAGTTATTAAGTGTCTCGTGTGAAAAACTGCTTCGTTAGATTATAGGAATGCTGAAATTGTATCGTGTGGTTTGTTGAGAATGTTTCGAAAGTCGAAAATGAAGAATTCATCGCGTGGGAATGGTGGAAGTTAATATCGTTGATGAAGAACAACATGAACATTGAGTATGGATTTCAGAACATATGATGTAGCGAAAGCAGTGCTTCAACCGCAATCTGAGTATGTATAAGACTTATAAACCAAGTAGTCATAAAAGACTTCTAGGAATTGATGCAATAATATACGAGGCAATAATTAAATATACAATGAGTAAAATAGTAAAGAAAATAATATGTGTAAAATAATGTACAAATATGAAGTTTAGATTCTCGAAAATACCTTGTAAACTTTGCCAAAGCTGCCATCTCCCAACTCGCCAACAAGATCCCACACTGTGTTAGGATCAACTCCTTTGATAATGTACGAGAATTCCTTCTTCTTCTTCACTTTCATAAAAGGAAAGAGTTGTTTGAAGAACGAAGACATCACGAACCCTTCCTACCATACGACGAGCGRACTTCACCCCAACAACTTCGTTTTAAATGCTCAAAATTGCTTTTGTGGATGRARTAAATACACCAATGTTATTATGGATTGTTGGTGTAGTCCCTGGCAGAATATTAGCTGATTTGACGGTCGTTTCATGGACTAAAATGTATAAAAAAACTCATTAAACAAACTCTCCATTTCTTGAAGAAGCTRGCTGATTTASGAAATTCCTGGTGAAGTGACGTCACGTGGTCGGCCCAGACCCCTCTCTCTTTCAAAGCGCTGTCGCGCGTGATAGCATAAATTTTTTGGTCACGATATCTCTGAGGAAATCATTTATAAAGGAGTAAATAACAGATAAATACACACAARACGACAAAGATGACCTCATATAACAATAGTGAAACTCTAGGAACAAAAATACTTCGTATTAAAAAGTGTGAAAAAAATTTCTTCTCAATCTGACTTTTAATTTAAAAGGACGCAGCCGAAGGGCTTTAGACCACAGAGGCTGAGATATGGCAGATATATTAAATTAATGATTTTCAACAAGTCACGAGATTTTGAGATTAGTAAGATTGTCCTTCGATCATCAAAACATACACGCCCTTCAATAAAAGATTTGAAGACAAAAAATTCTAAATAGACATGATCAGTACTGATACAAAATTGCGTGACTCCGTTTTATATTTATATGATCCAGGAACTAAATCGAAATCTTAAACAAATATCAATTTGCACGGCAACCTATGCGCTGTATTGAGCCAGAGGGAACATCTGACTGTTGGCGTGCGGTTGAAGTCTTGAAGTAGTCAGCTAAACACTCGGCAGGAGACAGAATTAAAAAGGAAAATRAGTCTTTGGGAAGCAGCTATCATCTTACATCGCAACAAGAATGAAGATTGAAAAGGAAATGTGAAGTAGAACATGATTTTTTGTGTTCATGCAATGAAAATTACCATCCTTTACGTAAGTTGATTCGACGATTTAATTTGATCCAAATCACTCGGGCTTCTTGAAATTTATGAGCATTATTGTAAGTTTAGTAATGCTAAACCATACTATCTACAGAATATGAGCCCAACAAAAGGAGTGGTCAGATATAACAGCGGTAAAGGTATATTCATTTAGTGATAGGATTTGGTATAGCCCGAGGCATTGCACATAACACAGGTAACCCAGATTACAGCTAACTCAAGTTGACGTCACACGGAGCCCAGTCCTCCYTACACTTTAGACTATGTACTTGTGACCAGAAAACCTTGTTGTTCACGAACTTTCATAAATATTGCTGKTTTTTGTTTGAAAATTGATGCTTTTTTTGAACAAAACAGTTGAGATGACATTTCTTACTTATAAACGATTAGTTAGCATGTGAATCTTTTAAAGTATATCCAATGGTGGTCGAWCAGATTAAGGAAAAAGTGGTTATACAAGATTAGAGAATTTTTCAAGTTTTTGTCAATAACTGTATTATGGTTTACGATATGAAGTCTTCAAGCTCTCCAGTCAGCTCTCCGACAACTCCTACTTCGCCCTCATCGAAGAAATCGTTAAAGGAAAAGATAGCTGGAATATATGATGGGTTTCTTGAGGTAGAAAATKKCAATGTTTTCGTCTCCAAACTGATCTATTTATTTGTGAATTTGTGTTGTTTCTTAGGGAGGTGATCCCTCATTTGGTAATCCAAATTTTTGGCACGARCTATTCTTACTTAAGGTAAGAAACTATCATTATTTAACTAGTATTAAATAATATAAATATACAAAAGTTAGTTCAAGATCATTGATGATCTCAAGTGAATATAATTTTGGTTTTTGAAAAATGAATGGATGGATGGATGCATATTCAATTCTGTGTTGACCTTTATACTGGGGCTGTATAAAAAGTTGATAAAGTTATCCAGCAAAAGCACTATCTTCTTGTAAGTAGGCCCTTGAAGATGTTTGGGTTCYGATACATCTTCAAAAAAGCTCAAATTAAAATCATCAAAATTTGAGTCCAGGCTATATTTAATGATATCTTTATATCATAATTGATAGGTTAATGCCACTTATCTGGAAGACAGCATTGATGAAATGAAACTAGAGGAACTACTGGCAGTTAAGGTACCATTATCATAAATTAAATCATTAGTTACATGAAAAGTGTATTTACTTATTGTGCTATTGTACTATATAATATCTTCCTTATCTATCTGTACCCAAAAGAAAACAAAACAATCCTTGTAGGGTTGTTTTCAAGCAGTATATTTTCGAAAATGAAGTATACTTATTGCTAGTTAATGATTGTTAACAACTTTCATGTAATTACTGTTCCATGAAATAAATTATATTTCCTGATTGTAGATTTACAAAATCTAAGCAGCTTTGGTTCCATCTATTATTACCCACAATCACTGATTATTTTACTAAAAGATTKTGGAATTTCTTTTAGGATAATATTAACCTTTTGTTTGCACAATGCTGTATTGCACTTCATGGAGGACACAAGATCAAGGTGGTCAATTCATTACAGGTACAATATACTTTATTATTTTAGCAAAAGTTAAAATCATGTACAGCAGTGGTTTATTACTTGTTTGTGAGATTTATAGTATCTGTGGGCTTCCTGTGTAGTCACGCCATCACTTGCTTTTTAAAGCATAGATTCAGTCTGTTTTGGGATGGTGATTGTGCTAAACAGTCCTGCTCTATGTGTAGGCCTTAATGGTMTTATCATATGGCCTATAAAGCTGATCCCTTTGTGTTTATTTTATACATTTTCCTGATATTATGTTTTCTTTGACAGACTTTATGTGCATTGGTGCAAGCTGTATTTAGAAAGAAACTRGGTGACCATGGCTTTGATGCKATTAATATCTTGATTGGCTTTGATGCTGCTGAGGCACAAATGCAGGTAGGGTACCATAAATTTGTTACSAAYATGCCMATCCTAGATAATTTTKTAAACARTAAAGGTGAAATATTATATAGAATGATGCATTTTGTGTATTGAATGTGTTTKTCAAAAAGGCATTGTTTTAGAGCTCTGATCTTGGCTGTTTACAAGGTTGTCCTCTGCAGACATCTCMTTTCCAAGAGGATAGCACAGGGATCCCAGAAGGGCAAATGGTGACCTGCAGAGAAGGGCTACATAACATCCAATAATATTACAATTTRTTTCTAATTTTAAGGGTCTTCTTGAGAGTCTGCATACATTCATAGTTGGAGATTACCCTGGTAAGCTAAATCACTGTTATCAAAGTAGCATTTCTAATCTGTTTTTGACAAAAAAATTAACAAATAGCCGACTTGCGAATTACGCATCAATATAGTCACATACAAAGGAATCAAGACGAGGCGCCGTGCTAAAGACAATAGATTTTCACAAAATAGCACGGCGCCTCGTCTTGATTCCTTTGTATGTGACTATTGATGCGTAATTCGCAAGTCGGCTATTAGTTTGACAGATTTGAATTGAAATTCAAGAATTCTGATTTCAAATTTTTCTTTGAAAATTAGTGAGCTTGAAGAACCTTGCTTTAAAACTGGCACTTATTTTGGTTACTGTAAGTATTTAACATTCATTCAGTCAATTTAATAATATTATTTATTTATTTATTATTTGTTTTGTTTATGGATCTCCAGGCAACCGATAATGTAAGCCAGAATACTATAATAGAGTACATCATGATAAACAGTGTTTTTGAAGCTATAACACAGGTAAGTGTATAGCTKGTGTACATCCATTCCCACCCCTCCCTCCTATGGGAAAATTTTGGTATCAATTAGGATGAGGGGTGGGAATGGATGTACTAGTAGAGAGGCTAGTGAATGTATAAATTATTTTGAAGTATGTAGTGCAAAATATCAAAAATAATGAATTAATTAACCTCAAARTGGGCATAAAAAACTACAAAATATTGTATATATTAGTGCCAAGTCATTACTCACTGTGCAAGAATTTTAAACATGAAAGCAAAATGAGAGAAGTCACAAGGCCTGAGTTATTAATCATAGTTTAAAATTTTATTCTGAAAATGTCTTTGCAGATTCTTGCCGATCCAGTTGCTAGGCAACAACATGGATATGAAGCAATGTTGTTGTTAACTATTTTGGTAAACTACAGAAAGTATGAGGTGAGAGTGTTGATAATGCTGTGGATATTATATTGAACCATATGTCTGATATATTTTATAATAGTTTATATTTATATTTATTATATTTTTTGTTTATGACTGTGTACTTTTTCATTACCTTTTCAGGCGTCTAACCCTTACATAGTAAAGTTGTCAATCCTTGATGATGAACTTGCTCTAAATGTAAGAGTTGGTCAAATTTGATTCTTTTTCATAACAGTTTGCTACTTATATATTGACATGATTCTGTTATTTAGGGTCTTGGATGTGTAATTTCAGCAGCCTTGACTAATTACAACAGGTACTAATTATAGTTTTATACAATGCAAAGTTTGGGATAACTGGGAGATGGGGGAGGTTCAATGGTGATTGTTGATATTCAGGGGTGTTGCCTTGAATCATGTGATGGTGTTACGGACTTACTAACCACTTGATAACATAGTGGTTACCCAATGGGAGTAACCACAAAAATATGACATTATTGCTTCATCCATCTTTACTTCTGTCTGTCTGTCCATTCCTTTMTTTCATTCATTTATTCATTCATTCTTACATTTCATCCATTTCATCCATTGATTTATGAATCAATCTGTCCACTTATCTATTCATGAAAGTATGCACATGTCCATCCATCCTTTTATTCACATCCACCCATCCATTCTTTCATTCACTTTGTGTTTCTTCATTTTACCAGGAAGCACCATACCAGGCTAGAAAAAGCTGGCGGAGGTTTTATCAACAGCATAGCAAGCTTTGTAAGCACTGAATTATTTTAATTTTATTTATTAAAGATGATAATTTATCTGGCAATAATCCATGTTCTAAAGGCATTGAATAATTTGTTATGTGTTTTGTTGCTTTTTAGGTGGGAAGTATGTTTGTTGCTGAAAATGAAAACGTTGAATGTATCAGGTATGAACTCTGAAATCAGTTAAAAGTGTTAWGCCTGTTAGCAAGATTTTTGAGCTTAAATAAAATATAGTCTGCAAATCAATCTATAAAAATTTTCCAAACATTTTCCATTGCCAACCATTATAATAGATTTTATAAGTTTTTATTTAATGTGAGAATGTTTTTATTGCAGTACCAATGAGGCAGTCTTGCTTGCGCTGTACGAAGCTCTTCATCTCAACAGAAACTTTTTTACTGTATTAAGTCATGTAACAGTAAGTTATAAATCACATTACAGTGGCGGATCCAGGATTTTTCAAAGGGGGGTTCCACCTTGTTTTCACATTTTCCTAAAGCGAACTTTTTTACTGTGCCTCTCGAATTGTAGCAAATGTAACGTGAATGTAGTTTTAGATGATATGTAAGTCTCAAAACGCTTTACAGTTCTGTGTGTGGTAAAAGTGTAATATAAAGCCGCTTACCTAGTAAGATATAAGCCAGCTTCACCCTTTCGGATGCAATTGTGTACGATGCGTTTTCATTTTATTTGATTTATTTTTCTATGCTCGAGGGGGGGTTCCTAGGAACCCATGGAACCCCCTGGATCCGCCACTGCATTAAACATTCATTAT